AACTTGGATTCTCTCCAGCCCTATCTCAAACACTCAGTAAAAAATCTRGGGATGGTTTTAGACTCAGACCTAAAGTTCAATAAACAAATTAGTTCCGTTCTGCAGAAAAGCTTTTTCCAACTGCGACAAGAAGCTAAGCTCAAGCCAGTGTTGTCCAGACCCGACCTGGAGACTTTAATCCATGCGTTCATCACAACTCGCCTGGATTATTGCAATGCATTGTATGTTGGGATCAGCCAGCCCTCCTTCGCACACCTTCAGCTCGTCCAGAATGCAGCAGCTCGGCTTTTAACAGGTACACGTAGGTCTGAGCACATTACACCAGTTCTCTCTTCCRTTCATTGGCTCCCCGTGCAAACTAGAGTCGACTTTAAAATCCTGCTATTAACCTATAAATGCCTAAACGYCCTTGCACCCCTCTACCTCTCAGAGCTACTGAAACCATYTGCTCCTTCGAGGGCTCTGAGATRATCCGATCAGATGCTTTTGGAGGTTCCAAAAACAAGGTTGAAGCTCCGAGGAGATCGGGCGTTTTCAGTCATCGGTCRCAAACTCTGGAATAACCTGCCCCTCAACATTAGGCAGGCCGGTCCCAAACTCTGGAATAACCTGCCCCTCAACATTAGGCATCTTTTCTCTCTGGTGTTTCATACTGAGTGAGTTGACTTAGTGCGGTTTGTGTTTCTTTTAATGCTAGCCTCATTCACTAGATATTTTTATTTTATTTTTACTTGCTGTTTTTATTGTCATCATTGCTGTGTGTTACAATGTTCTGTTTTAATTTTCTATTTGTAGTAAAGCACCTTGAAAACAGTTTATCTGTTTTAACTGTGCTATACGAATAAAGATGACTGACTTGACTTGGTCCTCCAAAACATTGTAATCCTTTCAACAATACGTTTTTTTAGTTGGCTTTTTATTGATTTTTTTTAGCATTAAACAAGCATAAAGTTGTGATTTTTCTTGTGTTTTTGTGTTCCAGTGGTTCCTCCAGACGCCCAGCAGCTGTGATGGAGACAGACCAACCTGCCCAGCAGCAGCAGCAGCTGGAGGAAAGCTTCTCTGTGGCCAATGAGAACCCAAACCCAGAACCCCCACTTGTTAAYAAGGAACAGGAAGAAACTGATATCACTAAGCTGACATTCAGTCATATCTATGTGAAAAGTGAGGAGGAACCTCATTCTTCACATCTTCATCACAGGAAGACTGAGGGGAACGAAGTGACTCTGGTAGGAGAAGGCTGTGGACAACCTGAACTCAATACTGATTACAGGAAAACAAAGTRTAAAGTTGGCGTTGAGGATTTTWATGAGACCACAGATCCATATTCTGGAGCAGAAAGTGCAAACCGTGTAAATGATTCTGGATCTAATAACAGAAACGTGTTTCATTGCTTTTAGTGTGGGAAACGGTTCGGCTGTATGAGTTATCTTAAGTTACACATAAGATGCCACACAGGTGAAAAAGCCTTTCAGGTGTCCTGTTTGTAGGAAATGCTTTACGTGGAAAGSTCGTCTCCAGATACATGAGAGTCCACARGGGAGAGAAACCTTTCAGGTGCTCGYTGTGCGGCAAAACCTTCAGTGAAAGTGGAAATCTGAAGGTGCACGAGAGTCCACATGAGAGAAAAACCTTTCAGCTGCTCTGTTTGTGGGAAAGGTTACGCACAAGGGGGAATTTGAAAATGCACATGARGGTCCACAAAGGAGAGACGATATTCAGATGTGGTCTGAATCAGTCGTCTCATCTTCATCACAGCCAGACCAGAGGGATGAYAAACGCTGTGATGAGACCCGAATCAGCTGCAAACTCTGATGCAGAGGGGCATTTACAACCAGGCACTACACTCAGCTGTGACCACGAGGCTGGGAACTGTGTGGGATGTGGCATCTGCAAAAAGCCATTCGGCTGCTCTGAGTGTGGGAAGAGATTTGGCTTTAAGGGGCAGCTGAAGACACACATGAGGTCTCACACAGGTGAAAAGCCCTTCAGGTGTCCCACCTGCTGGAAGTGTTTTTCATGGAATGGAGGTTTACAGAAACAAAAACCCACACGGGAGGGAAGCCGTACAGATGCACAGTGTGTGGTAAAGGCTTTATCGAGAGTGGAAACCTGAAGGTTCACATTAGGATTCACACAGGAGAGAAACCGTTCAGCTGTTCAATATGTGGTAAAAGATACAGACAGAAGGGAAGTCTGACAAAACATCTTGAAATCCACAGAGAGGAGAAATGATTCTCAGAAACCAGGAATTCTGAGCTTTTTCGGGGCTTCAGYGGAAACTCAGTCYCATCCTYTTTCTTCAAAACATCTGGACTAGATATTGGACCAGAAAAATCCACACTCAAAACCTCAAACTAGTGATGGGCATATGAAGAAGCTACTATGTWGTTTGTTTTTAGAAAAACAACAAAAGGTTAATTACTTTAAGCTTTTGAACACTTGTTTTAAGCTCCATTGGCTAAGAATACCACAGCATGAAATGAACCACCTTGTGTTTGCCCATTCCACATCTGACAGCTGTTATTTATCAATATTARGTGATATTTCTGTCTGATATCAAGCTATCACTGTGGGGATTTGAACATGTATTTATGAGTGTAAAAATAAAGGTATGGTTATTTGATGAATGAATCTGTTTAAACATGATGCCACTTTGCTTGTGATATCTTGACAGTTTTAATAAATCATTTAATTTACATCACATAAGTTTGGATGTTTATATTGCAAGTTCCCAGTCTTTATGTAATTAACCTTTTTTATGTGAAATCACATTGCATCTTTAATGTTTTTAATTTGCTGCTCTCTTAACTAAAGAATGCAAACTTTTTTGTATTGCATATTTATGATCCAAAGAAACTGCAGTTTATTTTACAAACACATTTGAAAGTAGAAAATAACGTTTTTGCTTCAGTTTCTGCCATCGCTTTCTTTAGCGATACTCATTTCAGCYTTTCCTCCTAATGTCCAGTATCTGTTCYTGTTTCTAGAAAAGGTTTCTGCTGAGAAGCAAAAAGGAAGTTTCAGTCAAGACAATGAGAACTTAAGTCCTACTCCAGAGCCTCCAATTCCAGAWGATGGAACATCAGGATCAGGTGTGTTCAACCAGTGAGGGACAACAATTATAATTCAAAGGATAAAAGATGCTTCAGCTCTAAACATGGAGAAAAGATCAGTTTGGGTGTCCTAAAAAGGATTAATTTTCTTTTAGCAAATATGTTTGTTTAAATGAGCATTATCAAACAAAGTTGTAACTGAAAGATTAGACTTTCAATTTATTATCACAACAATTTGAGACAATATTTCAGTGTCTGCAAACACAAACAGAACAAGAACACTGGAAAAGATAATCCCATGATAACTCAGTGCTAGAAACAGAAGAAGCAAGGATGAACATGAACAGAGGACATAATTCTGAGAGCAAACAAAATGATTTCTACAATTATTTTTATTTTGATTAATTCAGTCACACCAAAACTGGTGAGTATTGCCTCTACTCTAATCATGCAGAACAGTAAAACTAAATGTCCACTAGATGGAGCTGTGAGCATAGTGTTGGACAGTCTGGATGTAAAGCTTGAATATCCTATCCTACCAATGCTTGTAAAAAAAAAAGCAATTAATGTTTTAAAAAGCATAAAGCACAAATATGAAACAATAAAAATGAAAAATATAGATGCAGAAGTTTAAGAACATTAAAACATAAATCTGCAAAATTGTTTGAGTATGAAACATGACTTTATTTTCTTATATGAACTGTAACAAAAACAGGTTATTAGACTTTTATTAGGTCATGAATCCTGTAAACATAAATAAAAATACAAAAGAAATATAAATTAATATTTTGTTAAGTTTAATCTGACAAACAGCATTTCCACAAACTCGTGTCACAGCTGAGAGAGATCAACAAATTTTAAGTGCACATCTGCAGTTTAATATATATTATTTTTGTTTCATCAGCATAAAGAAGGTGAAACTGCAAGACAGAACATGACAATAAGCTTCATGGTTTAGGTTATTATTTTCCTGTTTCATTTATGATGAATGAAAGAAAACATCCTATTCACCTAATCTTGTGCAGATAAAACATTCAAACTGTTTAAAATGTGTCGTTTCAGATTTATACCTGAATCATCCCCATATGTCCGTTCACCTGAGGACTCACCGACACACTGGTGGTACTTCAGCTCTGTAAACCAAGCAAAGGTTTTCTTACAATCGTCACAGCTGTACTTCCTTTCTGCGTCATGGACAGTCATGTGAGACAGCATGTTCGCCTTGTTTGTGTACTTTTTATCACAAATTGAGCAGCTGAACGGTTTCTCTCCTGTGTGTGTTTTCATGTGGACCTTCAGACTAGAGCTGGTGTTTGATCTATGACCACAAACAGAACAAGAGTACCGTTCTGTGTGCTGTTTCATGTGAGATTTCAAATAAAAACTATAGCGGAATGCTTTACTACACTGAGCACAGCTGTATGGTTTCAAATCTGAAACATATTTTGCTCCTTTTTCTGTGGTTTCTTGTCGGAGTGAGTTTAAGTTTGACTGTGGTTTCTTGTAGTCTTTAAAAAAGTCACTGTCAACACTATCGTCACTTTCTGGCTGCAGCGAGTCGGTCACCTTGTTATCAGAACAGCTGGATAGATTTCTGCCAGAATCACTTTCAGAGTTTGAACCTGACTCAAGTTTTGGTTTCCATAAGTCGCTGTCATCAATCTCTGGGTCAGAGAGCGCTGACGTCTTCTCATTATCAGCTGGTTCTCCCAAAAACTCTTTGTTGTCCTCAGTTTGACCGTGATTAAGCTGAAACAACTGAGGCTTCTCGTCTTCTTCAGTCTTTAAAGGGACAGGACTGAATGTGAACTTGGTGATCTCAGCTTCCTCCTCTTCCTCTTTTATCTGTGGAGGCTCTGGATCTTCCTGCTTCACCTCCTTCTGTATCTCTGGATCAAACACTGTGTGTTGACTCAGATCCTCCTTTAATGTAAAAGGCTGTAAGTCTGTCTTTGTGTCACTCTGAGAGACTTCATTATGTCTCACAGATGTTAAATCTGACTCAGTTTCTCTGTTTTTTTTCCAAAACTCATCCTCTTTAGTTTTTAAGGATAGTAAAGCCTCCACATTGGTTTCCTGTTGTGTTTGTGTGTCTGTATTTAAGTTCTCTGGTCTTCCAAAGTCTTCTCCATCAGCTGCTGTTTCCATCTGTTCCTGTTCCTCCCTGTTCTCTTCAGCCTGGATGTGAGGACTCTCTGATGACTGATGAACAACTTTATGTTTCGACAACAGATAATATGTGCAAAATTCAGCACCACAAGCTCTGCAGCGGAATACTTTTTTCCTTTTCTTGTGGACTTCCATATGTTTCGTCAGGTGCCTTCTCCACGTGAAGTCTTTTTCACAAACATGGCAGATAAACTGCATTTGCCTTGTGTGGATCCTCATGTGCTGAATTAACGAGTCTTTGTCACTGCAGCAGGCCTTGCAAACTGAACAACTGAACAGGTTCTCTCTTGTGTGCAACTTGAGATGAAGATTTAAGTCTTCAGATCTGGAAAATCCTTCCTCACACTGAGAGCAGCTGAACTGTTTGGAGGCAGGAATCGGTTCCTCAGTTTGGCTTTGATGATGCTGAGAGGATTCTCCACCACAAACGTGAATAACAAGCTCTGACTCCAAACTGAAGGTTTTCTTGCAAACAACACATGTGAGCAGCTTCTCTCCTGTATGGTCAGATATGTGTCTTGTCAGAAGTCCTCCTGTTGCAAATTCTGACCCGCAGAAAAAGCAACTCAGATTCTGGTTATCATGACTTCCTGAATCACCGACTTCCTCTTTTATTTGAGTGTTTAAAGTTGACCGCTGCAACATTGTGTGGTCATAAACATCCCTGACAACACTTTCATTCTCCAAAGGTTCAGTATTCATCTTGTTATCACAACCACTCAGTGGTTTCTCAGGTTGCTGTGATGATTCACTGCATGTTTTACCCCCTGACGAGGGGCAATATTTTATGTCCTTCTCAACATTATGGCCTAGAGGTTCAAAAATGTTTGAGTTTTTGTCATATCTACAGTCACTGACATCAGTCATGTCTAGACTGGAGCTTCTGATCAGTTTATCACTGAGAGGATCTTCTTCCAACAGCTACTGACTGACTGCAAAACAAAATCACAGTGAGACACACAGAGTTTAATTCAGAGTCACATAGTCAGAAACACACATTTCTTGTGCATTTAAACGTGGATTTCATTGTTAATATGTTTAAATGCTGCAGAGTAAAATAAATCAAATGTCTCTGAGGAGTGAAGTTTGGGCACTTACTATGCTATTACTATTGTTATACCATTGAAAGGAGATTAAAAAAACATAAATGTGGCATGACATTGGTTTTCTTCTACTAGTGACACAATAATCCCAATTTAAGCACAGTAAGCAGCAAAGAACGATAACCCATATTAACCTTTTTTTAACCAGCAAGAAATTGCTAATCTGTGAGCAACAACTATTACTTTAAAAAAATCCCCCCCAAAAATATGTGGTAATAATCAGTACACTTGTGCTACACAAATAAAAGCATACATTTGATAATCTGAAAAAGGGTATTTTTTAATGTAAACGAATAGACCAATAAAATTATTTTATTAAAGCTAACAATCCCTGGACAGACGACTTAGCTAGCGTTAGCTTAGCACAGGCAATTGACATCACGATAAAACAAATAAATATTTTTAAAACTCAGCAAACAAACCTAAACGTTTCAGACCCGCCTTCAGTCGTATAGGGCAGGAAAACATTATTTAAAACAGTTAAAACGATTAAAATCGACTCAAAACGAGTACCGTAGGATAAATACAATGACACCTATTATGACTGAAATGCTAACAAGCTGTTTCCGGTGTCGGTTTTCAAAATAAAACTCAAAAGAACTGATTTTCATTAAACGAATCAAACGCTAATTGAAACATAATCCAAAAATAAAATAACGTTTTCAGCACTGGGTGACATGCATAAATATAATCKAAATGTCCATCCTGATTAAAAATATCCTAAAAGTAATAATTGCTCTATTATTCCACAAATTAAAGCCATGTGGTGTAAAGTTGAGTAAACTTGTTTTCCAACAGTCTGTGAGTCTGCACAGTCATGCCACATTTTATCTAACATTTCTGTCACTGGGTATGTGAATCCAAAAATTGATAGTTACTAACAATATGCAGTTTAAAGCTGGGAAATCCACACATCCTTAGCTATAAATATAAATCCATTATTTTTTACATAAATTTTCCCATCTGAATTAGTCAAAATTTGCACTACATGATTTTAATGGTGTCAGTTTGTATTGATACTACTGTGATCTGATGAATATTTTCTTCCAAACGTCTCATTTGCTATTTGAGCTATTTTATACTGTTGTTAAAAAAAAACAAAAACACAGTCTTGTGTAACAAAATAACAATCTTTAATCCATCTTCAAACTTTAGAGATAGAACACAACAATTGTTAAACCATGTGCACATATATTTGTTGGTCTGAGAACAATAATCAATATTGACGTTCAGTGAAGTAGCATAGCTGAACATTTTGATCAACCTTTTTTTCTATTAACAAAACAAATAAATAAGACATCTATCATGAAGTTTTTGTCTCAACATATTGACATGAAGTCTGTCAAGTGTCGAATTTACATTTAAAAACAAGTTAAAAATGCATAACATTTTAGTTCACAAATGCAACGTTCGTAAAGGTCCCTTTTTTCAGTTTATGTTCTACTGGAGTTTTTTATCTTGTTTTCATGTCTCATCTCCTACTTGAGCTGTTTAAAAAAATGGAACAAGGAGAAATTGCCTGAAGACACTGAAATATCTGCAAGTCTTATTTGTGTTCTCTCATGTGATGAGTCAGACTTGACTTAAAACTGAAGCTCTGCTCACAGACTGAGCAGCTGAACGGTTTCTCTCCGGTGTGGATCCTCAAGTGTTCGGCTAAAGTATACTTCCTCTTAAAAGATGCACTGCAAACAGGGCACGTGAAGGGCCTTTCTTTGGTGTGGACTCTTGCATGTATCATCACCAAATCATGTTTTCTTTTAAATGCTGCCTTACAAACTGAGCAGCCGTGAGGTTTTTCGACGCTGTGGCACCTCATGTGGCGAGTCAGACACAACTTGCGACCAAAGCTTTGGCCGCAGACTGAGCAGCTGTGAGGGGTCTCTCCGGTGTGGATTTTTGTATGCTCCATTAAATTTATTTTGGATGGAAAAGCTTTGTTGCAAAAAAAAAGCAGCTGTAAGTGTTGTCTCCTGTGTGGCATCTCATAMGATAAATTAGATTTTGCTTACCGGTGAACTTCTGATCACAAAGGAAGCAGCTGAAAGGTTTCTCTCCGCTGTGCGTTCTCGTGTTGCTGTAAGCCGCTTTTCCTCGCAAACGATGTCTTACAAACAGAGCAGCCAAATGGTTTCTCCCCAGTGTGGACTCTCAGGTGGTTCACCAAAGTATGTTTCCATGCAAAAGCTGCTTTACAGACGGAGCAGCTGAAAGGTTTTTCTCCTGTGTGGACTCTTTGGTGTCTTGATAAATCGGACCTCTGTTTGAATATTTTACCACATTCTGTGCAGCTGTAAAAAGTCTTACTGCTTTCAGATCTTGTTTCACAGACAGAAACGTCATTATTCGTCAAAAAGTTTAAATCTGGAGGTGGCTCACTGTTTGCACAGTTTTCATCACTGATATTTGAATTTAAAAATTGATCTGGTCCCACAGAGCCTCTGGTCTCCTCAGTCTTGCGGAGATGAAGCTCAGAGGTCTGAAGTTTCTCTTCGTCAGCTTCACTCGTTACATGAACAGGACTGAATACAGCCTCTATGATATCAGCCTCCTCCGGTTCCTCTTTGATCTGTGGGGACTTCCGGTCTTCCTGGTCCAGACTTGAACTCCAGTCCTGTTGCTTAAGAGAAAACTCACTTTTGTGCAGCAAAAGCTGGTGGACATCTGAAGAAAACAAAAACAGACAGGTAGCTAGGGGRCAGGCTTATATCAAGATTAACTTAAAAAGATTCAGTACACATTTTTTCCTGAGTTTAAAAATAGAAAAAGGAAATTTATTCTGGCTAAAATCTGCCAGTTTAAATGTCCTTTCATGATATCATTGCGTGAGGTTTCTGAACAGAGTAGGTCTCTCACAAAGTGTGCAGAATCAGTACTGATTACAATCTGAATTTCAAAGGTGAATCGCCTCCTTCATTCCAGTGAACAAGTGGGTGAAAAATATTGTCTTTGCCTTTGCATGTTGCTACCTATTACTACTGTTATAGAAAAGATTGCTATTTCAAAAGTGATTAACTTTGTGGCCACAGGGCAGCAAACTGGTTATTTGGAGTCCAAATTCTGGACAGAAATGGAGATGGATGTCCCTACAACTTGGACTAACTTGATATACTGAAGCTAACATGAAACAGATTTAGTGTTTTACAATTTTTAAGGGCTACTTCCTTCCTGTATTGATAACCAATGGTAATTTCTAAAGCAGCAAAGAACATCTTACACGAGTCATAAGTGACAGTTACATACTGAACACAAGTTTAGCTGCTTCTTACAATAACAACCAACTTTTGGATAGGCCGTTCTAAAATAGTTAGCTTGTTTAGGTGTTCACCCTTCTTTCCTAACTTCCTCTCTCCCACTTGAATGATGGCCTTTCTGACCAGTCCATCATCATCTTCACATGCTTGAAGAACTTTGGCAAGCTTCCATCTATTGCGAGGGACTTCTTCCTTCTTAAGGATTACTATGTCTCCTGCTTGCACATTACGTCAAGGGGCATGCCATCTTTGCCTGAGAGTGATGTTGGCAAGATACTCTCTTCTCCATCTGTTCCAAAACTGCTCAGAAAGATATTGAACTCGCCTCCATCTTTTTCTGGTATAAAGATCTTGCTTAATAAACTTGCCAGGTGGGGGCAGAGGAACAACTGACTTCATAGTTAGGAGATGGTTGGGTGTTAAGGGCTCCAGGCTGTTGGGATCACTGATTGTGTTGACTGTTAAGGGTAGATTGTTTACAATGGACATTGCTTCATAGAAAAATGTCCTTAGGGACGAGTCGTCCAGTCTCCCAGTGCTCTGAGCTAGAACTGAGGTAAGAACACTTCTCACCATCCTGATCTGCCGTTTCCATACTCCTCCAACGTGACTTGCGTCAGGTACGTTCATACGGAAGTCACACTGCTTATCTGCAAGAAAGGCAGCTACTCTCTCTTGGTTGACTTCTTTCAGAGCTCTTTCCATTTCGTTTCTGGCTCCAACGAAGTTCGATTCCTGATCTGATCTGATGTGTCTTACAGCACCCCGGATGGCTATGAAACATCGTAAGGCATTGATGAACATATCTGTCATCATGTCTTCCAGCATCTCGATGTGAACTGCTCTGGAACACAGACAGGTGAAGAGAAGACCATAACGTTTCTGTTCCWTGCGACCCTGTTTTGCATGAAATGGACCAAAACAGTCCATGCCACAATATGTGAATGGCGGGGAAGATTCGATGCGGTCATCTGGAAGATCTGCCATTCGTTGTTCTTCTGGTGGTCCACGAGCCCTTTTGCAAGAGACACACTGCCGTATGTACTGGGCTACTGCCTTACTTCCACTAACAATCCAATAACCATTGGCTCTTAGTTCATTTCGTGTTTGCCCTCTGCCTTGGTGTTGTGTTTTTTCATGATGATGTGCAAGAATGAGATTTGTGATTATYCTGTCTTTTGGAAGGATCACAGGGTGTCGTAGATCTAGAGGAATAGAGGCCTTTCTCAGCCTTCCTCCCACCCTCATCACACCATCATGTAAAATGGGWTCCAGTTGGTGTAGCTGATGGTTGCATGATAGCACTCCAGACTTCTGACTGAGTAGGTTCAACTCTTCTCTAAAYGATTTCTGCTGTGCCAGCTTTACAAGAGTGAGTGTGGCTGCTCTTCTCTCCTCCACYTTTAAGGGACCTTTAGTTTTGGTGACAAGGCGTTGGATGCATGCAATGACATTCACCAGTGTGGACCACCTTGAGATCCTTGACAGACGTTCAAAATCCTCTTGAATTGCTACCTCAATCCTTAGCACTTGGGTTGTTTTAATCTCTGGGTCTCCCACTAGGAGCTCTGGGGTTCTCTTGTGGGTGACTATGTCCCTTTCCCAAAGGAATTTAGGCCCTGAGAGCCAGCTGGACCTATCTAGTTCTGCTAGTGTGAGGCCCCTTGAGGCATGATCTGCCGGGTTCTCTTCTGTGTCAACATACAGTAGTTCCACTGTTTTGGGTCAGTTAGGTCTCAGATCCTCTGGACACGGTTGGCAACAAAGACATGAAATCTCTGAGCCTCATTATTGATGTAACCAAGGACTACTTGGGAATCTGTCCAATAGTATTCTCTATCAATCTTGAGCTCCAGCTCACCTTTCAGCATGTTGCTCACCCCTGCTGAGACCACAGCTGCCGTTAGCTTAAGTCTTGGTATGGTGACAACTTTCGTGGGAGCGACTCTTGCTTTGCCAATGATCAGCGCACAATACACCCTTTCTTCACACACGAGTCTGATGTAGGAGCACTGGCCATAGCCTTGACTGCTTGCGTCGGAAAAATGATGCAGTTCAATTTCTACGACTTTGCCGAAGTTTTTAGGCACAACGCACCTTGGGATCTGAACTTTGTCAAGAATTTTAAGTCACTCAGCCAACTCTCCCACCTTGGCTTCAGATCACTTGGTAGTGGCTCATCCCAGCCAATGCCCTTCTGACACATCTCTTGCAGCACCTTCTTTCCTGGGAGGATGAAMGGGGCTAAGAACCCTAGTGGGTCATACACAGAGGCCACTATTGAAAGAATCCCTCTCCGTGTCACTGGGTTGTCATCCAAGACAGTCTTGAAGAAGAAGGTGTCGCTCTCTACATTCCATCTTATCCCTAGTGCACCTTGAACTGGCAGATTGGCACGGTTTAGATCCACACTTCCCACACTGACCGCACATTCTGAAGGACAGATGGACTCTAGCACCTCCCGACTGTTGGAGATGAATTTGTGCAGTCTTAARTTTCCTTTGGCACAGACTGCCTGGGCATCCTTAACTAGACTGATTGCCTCTTCGACAGAGTCCAGACTGATAAGGCCATCATCAACATAAAAATGTTTCCTGATGAAGTCTGCTGCTGAAGGATACTCACTCTCATTTTGGCTGGCAAMGTGTTTTAATCCGTAGTTAGCACAGCCTGGGGATGAAGACGCTCCGAACAGGTGAACTTTCATACGGTATTCTTTTGGCTCTGTGTCTGTATCACCGTCTTCCCACCACAGGAAGCGTAAGTAATCTCTGTCTTCTCTGTTGACGTGGAATCTGTGAAACATTTTCTCCACATCACACATGACCGCCACTGGATGTCTACGAAATCGACAGAGAACTCCAGTCAGCCCATTTGTCAAGTCTGGTCCTGTCAGGAGATGGTCATTTAGAGCAGTGCCTTCATACTTTGCAGAGCAGTCAAAAACTACCCTGATCTTGCCCGGTTTCTGAGGATGGTAGACGCCTTGGTGAGGTATGTACCATGCACATCTTGGTTCTGGTTCTTCATTTGCTTTCTCTGCTTCTCCATCCCTGAGTACGCTGTCCATAAACTTTACATAGTCCTCTTTAAATGTAGGATTTTTGTCTAGTTTTCTTTTCAGATGTCTCAATKGCACCAAGGCAAGCCTTTTGTTATCTGGTAGAGCTGGACGTGATTTGAAGGGAAGAGGRATCTCCATGTGGCCATACTCGTTTTGATGTATGGTGCCCTTTAAGATTTCCAGGAATTGAATATCCTCCTGGGATATGCTTTTTGTTTTGGTGTGGTGTCAGCGAAGTCTGTTTCGAGAGCTCTGATGACTGCTGAGGGTGTCACAGGTGGGACCTCTTTGACAGATYTACGATGACAAAGACCAGTTACTTACTTGGCATTAATACGCTATGGAGCGGTTCCTACTATGCTCCAGCCTAGGTCAGTCTTGATGCCATAGGGCTCTGTATCTCCTCCTGTGATGACCTTTCGAGGTGCYAGGGCTCTGGAGCAATCATAGCCTATCAGAAGTCCTACTTTACAGTCCATCAGTGAGAGGGATTTCGTGAGCAATGGTGCTGAGGTGCTTCCACCTTTTAGCTGTTTTGCATGTGGGAATATGTGCTCGTTCAAGTGGAATGAAATCTCTTGTGTAGGAGGGAGGCAGATCTATGAGATCATCTGAAGAGTATGATCTAACTCTCAGTCCACTAACTCTCTGCCTCTTGACAATTGAGTCTTTTCCCATCATGGTGGAAAGCTTAAGCTTCACTGGTTCAGCTACCACCTGCAGCCGCTCGCATACTTCCTGATCAACAAACGTGTGGCTGCTTTGCGTATCCAATAATGCATACACTAGGATTTCAGGATTATGAGAGTTACAGTGGTTTGCAAAAGTATTCATACCCCTTGAACTTTTCCATATTTTGTCAAATTACAACCACAAACATAAATATATTTC